CGTGGAAGTCTGGCGCGGGGTTCCGCGGCAAGAACCAGTTCAGGTGGGCGAAGGGCACGAAGTTATGCTTCCTTACCACGGCGACACTCACAACCTGGGCACACAAGTTTCGTTCGCGAACTTCCACGAAGACGAACTGACTCACCGCCTTTCTCGTGGGTTGGCTACATTAGGAAAGTTCAAGAAGGAATTGACAAATAAACATTTCCCGCTGCGCTGTATAATGCGTCTTTTTAGCGCAACAGTGACCTCTTCCGTAATGCGGGATGACGATTAATACATTAGCCTGGCGAAAGACCCAACCATAAGCAATTGTTAATACCGCAATCGTGGGCATCATCTTCGGTGGAGCTCCCTTTGGGGCCACGACCCGTGTGAGGGGTGCGCCAAAATGGGGCGGGGCCGCCATGCGGACCCTGCCACTGGGGCCTTCGATGGAGCTCCCTATGGGGCCACGAGCCGTGTGAGGGGTGCGCCAAAATGGGGCGGGGCCGCCATGCGGACCCTGCCACTGGGGCCTTCGGTGGAGCTCCCTATGGGGCCACGAACCGTGTGAGGGGTGCGCCAAAATGGGGCGGGGCCGCCATGCGGACCCTGCCACTGGGGCCTTCGGTGGAGCTCCCTATGGGGCCACGAACCGTGTGAGGGGTGCGCCAAAATGCGGGGCCGCCATGCGGACCCTGCCACTGGGGCCTTCGGTGGAGCTACCTATGGGGCCACGAACCGTGTAAGGGGTGCGCTAAAATGCGGGGCCGCCATGCTGACCCTGCCACTGGGGCCTTCGGTGGAGCTCCCTATGGGGCCACGAACCGTGTGAGGGGTGCGCCAAAATGCGGGGCCGCCATGCGGACCCTGCCACTGGGGCCTTCGGTGGAGCTCCACGCTCCCTATGCGGGTGGGGCGAACCGTGTGAGGGGTGCGCCAAAATGCGGGGCCGCCATGCGGACCCTGCCACTGGGGCCTTCGGTGGAGCTCCCTATGGGGCCACGAACCGTGTGAGGGGTGCGCCAAAATGCGGGGCCGCCATGCGGACCCTGCCACTGGGGCCTTCGGTGGAGCTCCCTATGGGGCCACGAACCGTGTGAGGGGTGCGCCAAAATGCGGGGCCGCCATGCGGACCCTGCCACTGGGGCCTTCGGTGGAGCTCCCTATGGGGCCACGAACCGTGTGAGGGGTGCGCCAAAATGCGGGGCCGCCATGCGGACCCTGCCACTGGGGCCTTCGGTGGAGCTCCCTATGGGGCCACGAACCGTGTGAGGGGTGCGCCAAAATGCGGGGCCGCCATGCGGACCCTGCCACTGGGGAACCGTGTGAGGGGTGCGCCAAAATGCGGGGCCGCCATGCGGACCCTGCCACTGGGGCCTTCGGTGGAGCTGCCTAAGGGGCCACGAACCGTGTGAGGGGTGTGCCAAAATGCGGCGCCGCCATGCGGACCCTGCCACTGGGGCCTTCGGTGGAGCTCCTTATGGGGCCACGAACCGTGTGAGGGGTGCGCCAAAATGTGGGGCCGCCATGCGTACCCTGCCACTGGGGCCGTCGGTGGAGCTCCCTATGGGGCCACGGAACGCGTGAGGGATGTGCCGAAACAGAGACATGCGGAGGGCAGAGGCAAGGGGGAGGGAGGAGGGGGAGGAGGAGGAGGAGGAGAGGAGGAGGAGGAGAAGGACGCGGGGCACCGTCTCTTCAAAACGAGGACCCAACACCACAGGATGGTTGGGAAAAATGAGGGGGGAACGATTAAAAACATAGTTTTCTGACATTTCTGCACAAGTTTCTCACTTGCGGAGAACGATTAAAGAAAATAGTTTTCCAGCCCGCGGCCGGTTTTTTCTAATCGTCATCCCGGGCGCCGCCGCGTGAACACGACCCCCGGTCATTTATTAATCGTCATCCTCCATTACTGTACGACAGCTGATGCTGGACTATGACGGCCGAACGGGCTCGCAGGCTACAGACTGAGGAGAAGGAAATGCTGCGGCGCATCGTTCAGACGCCGCGAGGGCATTATTAGCTGGCCGATTTAAGTATTGAGCAAGACATGTGAGTAGACTGGGTTATACGCGCCACGCGGAGGGCCGAAGGTTTTTTCCGGCGCGCTGGTCACCGCAGCTGGAACGATCAACAGCAAGCCCAGTAGGACGGGCGCTCTTCCACCAAGCTGTTGAATTGGACACCTGAAGGCACTCGCGTGCTTGGGCGGCCCCGCAAGCGCTACGCAGACTGATCTGGCTGTAGTTTCACTGAGCGAGCCCGGCAGCCCTACAGAGGCACGGGCGCGGGACCTCCAGCAGCACTGTTTCCTTCCTTCCTTCCTTCGGAAGAAGCGCGTTGAAGCATGAAGCAGGAAGGCGATGCACGTAGATTCGGTTTGCGCCCGCCATCCACAGAGGCAGGAAAAGGGGGAACCACTCGATGATTCAAGGAGGAAGGCGGCCTAAGGCATATTGGAATCATGGGGGCCCAGAAATCCGCCGACCCTGTCGGCGTGTGTGGGGTGTCTGTCCGGTCCCGTCGACGGGGAGCCTTCTTTCGTCCCCCCCCCGTCGAGGGAGAGAGACAGCACCTTCCTTGTTCGGGGAGCGGGTTCGCAGCTTGAGGGAATTCCATTCACGTCCGCATTACGTCAAAGCGACGCCACGTCCCTTTGTCCCGTCCCCGGCGGGAGGGGGGGTCCCAGGGGGGGGGGCGTGCGGGTCACATTGCAACCGGAACGGCCACTTACAACCTGATGGGGCACTTTACAACCAGCATGGGTTTTCCCAGAAGGGCACTTTACAACCAGAAAGGCCACTCTACAACCAGGCGAGTAAACGCACATAAGCGACACATGTTCTTCAATTTCCAAAACCTCCGTAGGTCCACGTTAGAGATACATTTTGCTCTCTAAATCGTGTTGGTTGTGAAGTGACACGTCTGAAGCGAGAATCTGTGAAGTGGCGGATTCCGAACGGGATCAAACAGTAATCCGATTGGCACCCTTCCCACTAGGATCCTGTTGGCATCAAATGAATCCCATTGGTATCCAACAAGGTTCCTCGGTATGGGGCCTGCGAGCGTCCTATTGGAATCCGATAGGGATGCTTCCTACTGAAACCCGTTGGGGCCGTTCCTGATGGAACCCGCTTGGAACCCCATTGGATTACAATCGATTGGAATGCTGCGGGAAACGCACTGGGAGCAATATATGGAAACCCGGTGGGTATTCTTGCGGGTTTTCACCCGAAAAAATGGGAACCGTTTTTTTTGGAATCCCATCACGACCATATTGGCGAATACGAAGGACATCGCACTGGAATCCAATCGGAATCCTTCCTTTCGAATCCATGCAAGACTACTACTGGGATCCCACCAGGACCCAACTATAACTCAATAGGAACCTGTCCTCGTTGACTCATATTGTGCCCCGAGTGGCGTTCTAGTGTTATCCTTGTGGTATCCAAAAAAGAACTCTTGGAACCACATTGAAATCCAATGGACATCCTCCCGCTACAGGTTGGTGACAGGCCTGGGCGATTTAAGTTTGTATACCCACGCCATAGATCTGCATCGCTTTTGTGGAAGCCTCATAACCTTTGCCTGCAAACCCTGCTTCTTCTGAATATAGAAAACAATACACGTTCGCAGCGACAGACGCAGATGAACACGCGCGCCTCCAGGAGAGCGGACATGTGGCCAAAAAGTCGTTGGTTACATTCTATACAGTTCATGCGGGATTCCTATTTTTAGCATCGTCAACATCTCTTGCCTTCGCGCCTCATCGTCTGGCAACGACGCAACCGTATGGTTTCGCATGTGGGGAAGCATTCGCACCCAGGGAAACGAAATGTGACCAAAAAATCATTGATACAGTTTTAGCAAATACATGTGAAATTCCAATGGTTGTTTTTTTTGCATTCAAAACCACGGTTGTCATCTCTCCTCATCTTCTGGGAACAACAAGCAACCTCATGTGCTCATACGTGCGGAAGCATGCGTACCCAGGAGGGCGGACATGCTGCCAAAAAATCGACGGTAAAGTTCTAGCCGATACGTGTGGGTTTCAACGTGTGTGTTCGCTTCGCAGACAACCTTAGCCCTCGCGCCTCATCGTTTGGCAATAGCGAGGCCGTCTGTGTTCGCATTCGCGGTCGCATGCGTACCCAAGGAGGCGGACATGTGGAAACGAAATCGATGTCAACATCCTGACCAATACATGTGGACTACAAAATGTTGTTCTTCATCATGGACCATGTTTGCCCTCGCGCCTCATCGTCTGACAATCACGACAATCATGGGTGTTTCGCAATTGCGAGCACGCGTGCCCAAACATGTGGACATGTGGCCAACACATCGATGGTTATATTCGAACCACTGCGTGAGGATGCCAATTTGTTTTCGGTATCGCAAACAACGTTCGCCCTCGCGCTTCATCGTCTGGCAATCGCAAAACTGCATGTTTCGCATGTGTTGAAGCATGCGTACCCAGGAGGGCAAACATGTGGCCACGAAGTCGCTTGTACAACTCTAGCCAGCGCGAGTGAATGTAAAATTGTGGTTTTGTTGTTTATTGCGTTTGTTGCCTTATAAGCCATGCTTGTCCTCGCGCCCCATCGCCTGGCAATCGCACAACCGCATGTTTGCGCAATTGCGGAAGCATGCGTGCTCAAGAGGGCGGAAACTGCCCAATAAATCGTTTGTTAAATTCTAACCAGTGCATGTGGATTTCAATTTGACTTGTTTGGACATCGCATGCAGTGTTTGTTCTCGATTTGCAAAGTCTTCAGAGCGCGCAGGCGCTCGGAAGCTTCTGCGAAGCGCCCAAGCGCTCAGAGGCCTCTGCAAAGCGCCCAGGTGATCAGAAACCTCTGCATAACGCCCAAGCGCTCAGACGCTTCTGCAGAACGTTCAGGCGATCAGATGCCTCTGTAAGGCGCTCAGGCGCTCAGAAGCCTCTGCAGCGCGCTCAGGCGCTCAGCAGCCTCTGCAGACCGTACAGGCGATGATGAGCCTTTGCAGAACGCTCAGGCGCTCGGGAGACCCTGCAGAACGCTCAGGCAAAGCGGCCAGGCGCTCAGAAGCCTCTGCAAAGCGTCCAAGCGCTCAGATACCTCTGCAGAGCGTTCGGACGCTCAGAAGCTTCAGCAGCCCCTGCAGACCGCGCGCGCGCTTCCGAAGGTTGGTTGTAAAGTGGCCGCTCTGGTTGCAAAGAGCCCCGTCTGGGTTGTAAAGTAGTCGTTCTGGTTGTAAAGTGGGCTTCTCTGGTTGTAAAGTGGTCGTTCTCAAAGGTAAACCATGGAATTCGATCCCCTGCTGGTTGTAAAGTGACCTATCTCGATTGTAGAGTATCGCTCAGGTCGTAATAAGACCGAATCTCGGGGGGGCCAAATTCGCGTCGCCTCTGGGGTGCTCCTCTCCCACGGCGGTCCTTCTCCGGCACGCCAGACCTCCTCGGGTCCTCCTCCCCAGGTGGGGAGGAGTCCCAGGGAGGGGGGAAGGGGACTCCGATACGCATCCGTCCCTGGGGGTCCTCCTCCCCTTCCCCTCCCCTCTCCCACGCCACTCCTCCTCCGGTTATCCTCCCCGGGGGGAGGGGTCTCAGGGGGATCCTTTTCCTCCTTTTTCTCCTCCTCCTTCTCCTCCTCCTCCTCCTCCTCCTACTTCTCCTCCTCCTTTTCTCCGCCTCTTCCTCCTCCTCCTCCTCCTCCTCCTCCTCCTTCTCCTCCTCCTCCTCCTCCTCCTCCTCCTCCTCCTCCTGGTCGTCGACGACGTCTTTCAGGGTCGGCGGCACCGGCCGTCAGGCCTTCACCATACCTGCTCTCAACAACCCAGGGGTATATTAGAATTAGGTCGTTTCTTCTTCGACCTGCGCGCGCTCGGAAGAAAAGGTACGGATGCCGCCTCGCCCTGGAGGGCCCTCGTGTCGCCCGGGAGGGCCCTAGTCGCCTCGTCCTCGACGTCGTCGTCGTCGTCGTCCTCATCCTCCTGTTCCCCATTCCCGTTCCCTCCCAATTATTGTCCTCCATCCTCCTCCTCCCCCTCCTTCTCCTCCTCCCCCTCCTCCTCTTCCTCCTCCTCCTCCTTTCCTTCATTACCATCCTCCTCTTACGTTGGACAGACATTAGCATCAAGGATATTGCTATCCTCTAGTGACTAGACCAAGAAGGGTTCCGACCAGCGGCGTGCAGCACAAATTTGGCCGACGGCACGTGCAGAACTGGAAGTGCAACACATCGGATACAAGTAGAGAGCTGAACTGCCCCGATACGCAACACGCAACACGCAGCATAATGATACGGAGCTCAACACGTACGCTGAAAGCTTAGGTCTGACGCGATACGTTCGCCGAAACGTGGGCACATACGCTGACTCAGCGTCGCTGAGCCAACACGCAACATATTGACACGGACGGTTTGAGCACGGCAGGTGCTGAGTATCTTCGGCGGTGGACAAACCTCCCTGTAGTAAACCTCCCCTTAGCGAAAACGGCCTGGGACCGAAACCGACGGACCTGGACCCGCAAAAATGACGGCCGCGACGAACTCTCGCGAACCGAAAACGGCCAACTCCTCAATCGACGTGTCAGGGTGGGAGGCCTGTCCACCCCCGACATCTAAACGGGCGTATCGCAGCAGCTGAGGCAGAGAGCCCTCCTCCGACATAAAGCTGAGGCAGAGAGCCCTCCTCCTCCGCCTCTGCCAACGAGCTTCGCCCCCCTGCGAGAGAGCCGCTGCGCACGCGGGGGGCCGCCCGCGGGGGGCCGCCCGCGGCGGGCCGCCCGCGGCGGGGCGCCCGGGCGGCGGGCGTCGCCGGAGTTGATCCGGAGCTGCAGGTGCAGCGTGCTGTACTGCGGCCGCACCTGCTCCGAGAAAGGAACAGCAGCGTCGGGGAGGCGTTGAGACTCGTGCGATGGGGGACGCGGGCTGGCCCGACGGGGCCGTCCGGAAGACGACGAGGCCCCGTTTGAGACTTGACGTGGGCTCCCGCTGCAAGCATCCCGCGCAAAGAACGTCGGCAAGCCCGAGCTCCGGCTTACTCGAGTATGTTTCCCCGACATCGGGCATTAGACATCGGACATCGGACTGCAGTCGAGGTGCTGCGGGGGCACTGCGCTGCAGGTGTGCGCTGGGGCGCCGCTCTGACCGGCAATGGATGGCGGTGTGCTGCGGCCGCACCTGCCCTGATCAAGGAACAGCGCACTTTTAAGTCAGCGGGCGCAGGCGGGTCGAAGCCGGTGCAGGTGCCGCTCGGGCTACGGGCGGGACGCGCCGGGAACAGCATACTTTCAGACCCTCAACCTGATAGGGAGGAAGTAATCTTGGGAAGGGCAAGGGCATGAAGGCGCTATAATCATGGGCGCGGGCTGTAGGACCCCGGTGTGGCGTTCCCGTTCGAAAGGGGTCCTCCATCCGCCAACACACGCCCAGAGCCCCCCCACGGAACTCCATCACGGGGGTTCCAGTTGTCAGCTCGTGATGCGCTGCGGCGGGGGGCTTTTCCAGAGAGGCAGCATGGGGAGAGCGGGCAGGCCCCCGCAGGTGGCGGCGGGGCTTCTCGGAAAACCCCAGGCTGGGCTCTCCAGTAGGCCTAGGGGCTTCTGAGAAGCCGGGGGGAGCGAGAGGGGACGGGGACTTGTGCTCGCTTGTCGGCTCGCCTCGTTGGGCCTCCTCGGCGGCCCTCGTCGCCGAGGCTGGGCTCGCCTCGAGATTCTGCTGAGGACGAACCCTGGGAGAGGTCTGGGGAGTAGCTGTGTCGATATTGGGCCTCGCTTAAGGGGGGGGGGCGATCAAATAGGGGAGGGGAGAAATGAACATCTTTCGGGCCCTAGAGGCACCCTTTTGGGCGGGGCCCGAAAGTGCGCTTTCTCGGCAGCCCTCGCTGCCCCCCCATTAGATCGCCCCCCCTTGCGCGGCCTCCGACGACATCTTTCTTTTCGGCGCGCCCGGGGGGTGGGAAGGTGAGAGGGGGCAGGGGGCAGCTCTTCTCAGAAGGCGGCGGGGTTTCTCAGAAGCCCTCCGGCCTTGGAAGGCTTACGGGGCAGTTTTTAGTACATGGGATTTGTTTATATTATGGGATTCTAATACATGATTAATGTATGAATGAATGTATGCATGAACTCATCGTTGTTTTTAGCACTAAACCCTGCATTTTTGCTACATGATCCGCACGCGGAGCATGTATCAAAAACGGCACTGTAGAGAGCTCCTCAAAGGGCGCGCGGGCTTCCGAGAGGCCCCGCCGCCCTCTGCGGGGGCCTGCCCGCTCTCACACTTCCCCCCCATCTGGGGACCACAGTGAGCCCGCACCAAAGGTCACTCCGGCGAACGGTCACTCTGACGTTTAGCCGATCAGAAGCCCTCCGGCTTTGGAGAGGCTTCGAGAGCTCCTCACAGGGCGCGCGGGCTCCCGAGAAGCCCCGCCGCCACCTGCGGAGGCCTGCCCGCTCTCACTATTCCCCCCCTAGGCTCGCCGCGGCAGGAGGCGATGGGTGTAGGAGGCGGCTTCGCCCGGCCCATCTGGCGGGTCCATGCTCCACCACCACTGCCACAGGGAGGAGAGGGAGGAGGAGGAGGAGGAGGAGGAGGAGGAGGAGGAGGAGGAGGAGGAGGAGGAGGAGGAGGAGAGGAGGGGGAGAGGAGGAGCAGGAGGGGGAGGAGGAGGAGGAGGAGAGGAGGAGGAGGAGGAGGAGGAGGAGGAGGAGGAGGAGGAGGAAGAGGAGGAGGAGGAGGAGGAGGAGGAGGAGGAGGAGGAAGGGGAAGAGGAGGAGGAGGAGGAGGAGGAGGAGGACCTCCTCATCCTCCCTTCTCCCCCGTCCTACAGATGGCAGGGGTGGTGGAACATTTGCCCATAACCCTCGGGCCATCGGCGTGCTAGACCTGAGGCCGAGCACAGAAATAGGAAGAGCGGTGCTGGGCTCTGCCCGAGAGGGCTCACACCTCCGTGCATACTGGGAGCCTTAGACCAACAGTTTTTTGGCGTAATCGTTCGTACTCGGAGCCTCGGCCCGCTCTCACTTCCCCCCTAGGCTCGCCGCGGCAGAAAGCGATGGGCGTAGGAGGCGACTTCGCCCGGCCCATCTGGCGGCATGTTCCGCCACCACTGCCATAGGTGGGAGAGGGAGAGGGAGGAGGAGGAGGAGGAGGAGGAGGAGGAGGAGGAGGAGGAGGAGGAGGCGGAGGTGGAGGAGGAGGAAGAGGAGGAGGAGGAGGAGGAGGAGGAGGAGAGGAGAGGAGGAGAAGGAGGAGGAGGAGGGGGGAGGAGGAGGAGGAGGAGGGAGGAGGAGGAGGAGGAGGAGGAGGAGGAGAGGGGGGGGAGGAAGGAGGAGGAGAAGGAGGAGGGGAGGAGGAGGAGGAGGAGGAGGAGGAGGAGGGGTCCCAAGAGGCCTGCAAACTGCCTCCAAGAGGTCCCCGAGAGGCCTCCCACGAGATGTGCTTCATACCCACAACCCGGGCACAGTGGCGGCGTGGGCCGAAGGCCATCGGATACTCTGGCCGTGGCGAGACGAGGGCTCTCCAAGGGCGAGCGGCGGCATCGGTACCCTTTCCTCCTCTGAGCCTCGCCGCCGCCGTCGATGTCGTTGCCGTCGCACTTCGCTGGGGGAACAAAGGGCGGCACGAACAACAACTTTCGGAGGTCCGCGCGGATGGCCTGGATCGGCGCCGGACCCCGCCCCAGCGCCGATCCAAGAAGTCGCCACGGAGCTCCAGGGGATGTTGCCTGTACGAGAGCGCGAGAACGGCGCCCGTGCACCGCATCATCGTTGGATTCCCTTCGGGCCCCGCCCTCACGCGATGGCTACGGAGCCTACTTTTCCAGCACTTGAGGGTCGAACCTTTCCTGGGTCGAGCATCGAAGACGCCTCGGGAGACGCGAGCGCGGTACGCTGCACACAAGTCGCCCGCGGAATTTATGCAGCTTGGGGGAACGGAACGCACCGATACCGCTACTCCGTGGACCTTTCCCAAGGTGCGCTCTGACGAGAATGCCAGTGAGAACCCAGCAATTGAGACGAGGGCCCTGAAGGACGAGCATCGGTCCTCCCTCTGAAGTCTGTTGTTCTTTCTTCGTGGCCGGCGTCGGCGGCGCTGGCGCGCCGGGTAGTGGAAGCCCGCCGACAGGCGCGCGTCTGGCAGCGCCGCGCCGAGCAGCCGCTCCAGGAACAAGCCCACACCGACCACGAGGGCCTACCGCCGCGCGGCCGCGAAGCCGTGCGCCGTCGCCGTCGCCCTCGCAGTCGCCGTTGCCGCCGCCGCCGTCGCCGCCGTCGTCGTCGTCGTCGCCGCCGTCGTCGCCGTCGCTATCGTCGTCGTCGTCGTCGCCGCCGCCGCCGCCGCCGCCGCCGTCGACGACTTCGTCGTCGTCGTCGCCGCCGCCGCCGCCGCCGTCGCCGTCGCCGTCGTCGTCGTCGACGTCGCCGCCGCCGCCGCCGCCGCCACCGCCGTTGTCGTCGTCGTCGTCGTCGTCGTCGTCGTCGTCGTCGTCGTCGTCGTCACCGTCGTCGTCGTCGTCTTCGTTATCGTTATCGTCGTCGCCGCTGTCGTCGCCGTCGCCGTCGTCGCCGCCGCCGCCCCGCCGTCGTCGACGACGTCGTCGCGTCGCCGCCGCCACCGCCGTCGTCCCGTCGTCGTCGCGACGCCATCGTCGCCGCCGCCGCCGCCGCCGTCGTCGTCATCGTTATCGTTATCGTCGTCGCCGCCGTCGTCGCCGTCGCCGTCGTCGTCGTCGCCGCCGCCACCGCCGCCGTCGTCGCCGCCGTCGTCGTTGTCGACGACGCCATCGTCGGCGCCGCCGCCGCCGTCGCCGACGTCGTCGTCGTCGTCGTCATCGTTATCGTTATCGTTATCGTCGTCGCCGCCGTCGCCGTCGTCGCCGCCATCGCCGCCGTCGTCGCCGTCGGCGTCGTCGACGACGTCGCCGCCGCCGCCGCCGTCGTCGCCGCCGCCGTCGTCGTCGTCGTCGTCGTCGTCGTCGTCGTCGTCATCATCGTTATCGTTATCGCCGTCGTCGTCGTCGTCGTCGCCGCCGCCGCCGCCGCCGCCGCTGCCGTTGCCGCCGCCGCCGCTGTCGTCGTCGTCGTCGTCGTCGTCGCCGTCGCCGCCGCCGTTGCCGCCGTCGCCGCCGCCGTCGTCGCCGTCGCCGCCGTCGTCGCTGTCGTCGTTGTCGATTCCGCCGCCGTCGTCGTCGTCGTCGTCAGCGTCACTGTCAGGAAGTATCGTCAGCGTCGTCGTCGGCTGCGTCAGCGTCACGGTTGTCGTGATCGTCCTCATCCTGCTGCTTCTCCTCCTCCTCCTCTGCCTCCGCCCCTCTGCCTCTGCCTTCGCCCCCGCCTCCATCTCCATCCTCCTTCTCCTCCTCCGCCTCCTACTCCTCCTCGTCACCAGATGCCTAAACGTGCCAAAATCTCGATCCACGATGCGTCTCTCCCTCCTCCTCTTCCTCTGGTGCCGTGCTGCCACGAGGCCCGCCTTCTGAATACCAGAAGGGAGATGCGAATTCAGATTAACTGACTTGGTATCGCCCCCATCGGAGGGAGGGGAGCCCCTGGAACTCTCCAAGTCTCCCAGACCGCCCTGGGCCCCCAGAGTGTCGAAATTGAACATTGAAACATCGATACCACATCCCCTCTATCATCCACACATCCAGAAAACCACGACGACTCTTTTCCAATCCCTTCTCTCCGTCCCTCCTCCTGCTCTTCCAGATCCTTGTCCTCCCCCTCCTCCTCCCCCTTCCCCTCCCCCTTTCCCTCCCCCTCCTCTGCTCCTCCTCCTCCTCCTCCTCATCTTCCTCCTCCTCCTCCTCCTCCTCTCCTGTTATGCTCCCTCTCTTGAGATCGGCCCAAAAATCAGTCCTGGAGCGCGTTCCGACCAGAATTCCGAGACGGATGCAGAGGACCAAAAATTCGGGAAACGTCCAAAATCCTCGACCCTCATGCTCGATCTGGCACTTCCTCCAATCCCAGGACGTCTCCCGAGGTCGCGTGCCTGCTCGAGGTCCTCGGGAGCCTCCGGAGGCCTTCGGAAGGCCACAAATTCGATGGCCCAGCGAGCCTAATATACTACCGATTCGCGCCCGCGTGGTGGCCCTTGGAGATCCCCAGGCGACAAGTACCCCGGCAAGGTCCTGGGTACTCCAGGGCAACCACCCCCTGGGCAAGTCTGATCAGAGATGGTGTTGCTCCTCGGCGCGGCCCGCAAGATCTCTAAGACCGACCCAGGATCGCCCCAAAGGAGCTCCGAGAGCACAAGAGCGGCCAGGAATGGGGATCAATGGGCGGCATGCCCCAAGATAACCTAGAGGTCACCAAAGAGGCCAACATAATTCCAAAACCTAGCGTGCTTAACGATTTGCATTTGTGCTGTCTGTTTCATCTGGGGCTCCGAAGCCTCATGATGGTTCCGTGATTGCTCAAGATGGCTCTAAATGGTGCCCAGACAAGCTGCAAGAGGGCGTCGAAGACCCCGGGATAGCTCCCAAAGAGCCCAACAGAACCCCGGGAGCGGGGATCAATGGGTGGCAGGCCCCGAGATGGCCCCCAAAGGCCCCCAAAACCAAATCGGTCCATCTAATTATTTTGTTTTGCCATGGCATGGGCTTATCGGGCCTGAAGATGGCTCACAGGTTGCCCGAGATGGTTCCAGGGCCGGGAATGCTCCGAAGACTGACAAATTCATCCCAGTAGAGGCCCTGGAGAGCTTCAATAGTGCCCCAGGACAGCGCAATACTGGGAATCCTCAGGTGGCAAGCCCCACAACGCCTTCAAGACAACCCCGCAAGGTCCCAAGACAGCCCAAGAATGGCCCCGCATGATCGAAGACAGCCCGCAAGAGGCCCCCAGGAGGCTCAACTCCTAACTCAGCTGTCTGATTCTGGATTCCTCCTCTCTTCGTTCCCTATGGGCTTCAGAGGCCTCAAGTTGGCTGCAACATCGCCCAAAGTAGCTCCAAGCGGGGCCCAGAAAGGCTGGAAGAGAGACAGCCGACAACTCCAGAAGCGCACAAACAGAGCCCCGACGACGCGCCACACAAGACACAGACACGCCTAAACGCAACGAGCAATGGGCATCACAACCCAAAGTAGCCTCCGAAACCCCAGCGTGGTCCAAATACCACTAAAAACCCTAAGGGTCCTGGCGAACCTCAAAGAAGTTCCCGAGATACCCCCGATGAGCGCCCGGATTCAGCCCAGAGACTTCCCCGAATCCGCCAACAGCTGCTGACGACAAGGTGCCTCTGCTCCCGACGCCCTCGGCCTCTGGCGGGAGGCCGAACATATACCTGGAGCTTGATGAGGAAGACACCCGCCAGAAATCGCCCAAGGCCACGCCCTGCCGGAGTCAAGAGCCATGGGGGACTCCAGAAAGGGCCACAGAAGTGAACGCTCCGTTCCGCGTGCACTCGTATGAAGACTCGTGGCGCCACTGCCCGCTCACCCATGGCTTGAGCGAAACAACCAAATGACAGAAGCATGAAATCCTCCCTCCCCCTCCCCTCCCTGCCCCCATCCCTCCTCGGCTCCTCGGCCCTGGAATCTCGACCATCCAGCTCCGATGCTCGATCATGCCTCCGCTTCTCCGCCTCTGTTTGCTCGGCAGATGCGCAGCGGGACGGAAACCACATAGCCGAAAAGCAGAGAAGGCATCGGCTCATCATCCTCCCCTCTCCTCCCATCCCCTCCCCTCCCTTCCTTCCTTCTTCTCCTCCTCCTCCTCATTCTCCTCCTCTTCCTCCTCCTCCTCCTCCTCCTCCTCCTCCTCCTCTAGCTCCATCTCCACCTCCACCTCCACCTCCTCCTCCTCCTCCACATCCAACTCCTTCTCCTCCTCCTCATCATCAGCATCACCAGCATCATCAGCAACATCAGCATCAGCATCAGCGTCAGCATCAGCATCACCAGCATAATCATCATCATCATCATCATCATCATCATCATCATCATCATCATCATCATCATCATCATCATCATCATCATCATCATCATCAGCATCATCATCATCATCATCATCATCATCATCATCATCATCATCATCATCATCATCATCATCATCATCATCATCAATCATCATCTCTCTCGGTCCTCCTCCTCCTCCTCCTCTTCGTCCTCTTCCTCTCCTCCTCCTCCTCCCCTCCTCTCCTCCTCCTCTCTCCTCCTCCTCCTCCTCCTCCTCCCCCCTGCTCCTCCTCTTCTTCCTCCTCCTCCTCCTCCTGCCCATCCTCCTCCCATTTCCTCCTCCTCCTCCTCCTCCTCCTCCTCCTGGTCCTCCTTCCCTCTACTCCCCCCCTCTACTCAGTCCCTCCTCCCTCCTTCCCTCCCTCCCTCCCTTCCCCCCCGCCTCCCTCCTCCTTCCTCCCTCCGCTCCCGGCTCCTCCCTTTCTCCCGTCTCCCAGACCCCCTCTGGAGAAACCAATAGGCAACGCTACCGCTACTCCCCGGACCTCTCCTGGGGTGCGTTCGCGAGGCGAATCCAGCGGTGGCGACGAGGGCCTCTCGGGAGGTCGAAAAAGGGAAACGGGACAGGGTAGCGGTATGGGTAGCCTTTCCTCCTCTGAGCCCTCCCCTCTCTGCCGTCCCACGACACGAGGAGGCCGAAGGGCGACCGTCCTCGAGCATGTCGAGGTGCGCCGGGCGGCACAGGTCGCGGTACGTGTGCAGGTAGCCCTCCGGCTTCTGCACGTCGGAGTAGCCGAAGTCGCCTGGGGAGCCTGCGCGCGGCGCGCACAGGAAGGAGGGGGAGGAGGAGGAGGGAGAGGAGGAGGAGGAGGAGGAGGAGGAGGAGGAGGAGGAGGAGGAGGAGGAGGAGGAGGAGCAGGGGGAGGAGGAGGAGGAGGAGGAGGAGGAGGAGGAGGGAGGAGGAGGGGAGGAGGAGGGGAGGAGGAGGAGGAGGAGGAGGAGGAGGAGGAGGAGGAGGAGGAGGAGGAACCTTGAGGTTCTATGACGAGGAGGGGAAGCATAGGATTTGTGGTGGGGGAGGTGGTGGTTGGCTTGCCGCATCTCGCTCGAGAACTGTGTGCTGCGGGCAGGCTGGCGTCGCAGTCCAGCGATGCCTGGACGCTCTTGCCTGCCCGCGTGCGGCTGCGATCGCGCGCGGGTCCACTGACGCCGCTGGCGGAGCGCCCCCGTGGCCTGGCACACAAAGAGGAGGATGAGGAACGCGAGAGGAGGCAAGGCAGGGCAAAGCAAGGCAAAACAACTCCTGAAATCGACTCCTCACGCCAGCCGTGCAACTAGGTGACTTCCGAGCGTCGTCTTTGTAACAAACATCCTCGATATGGAACCGCTACAGGGCCCGAGTGGCCTCTAGAACGGGCGCTCACGCTGCCCCTCCAGGGCGATCCGCCGTTCAGGCGAGCAACCTTGGCGGAGGAGGAGATTACGGCCTTCGCGTAGCGATATTCACACGCCTCCCCCGAACTCCAGGCCCGATGCGAGCACGAGGACGAGCACTGCGAGCACTGGATGGCGAGGCTGCGAACAACATCGCCAACAACACCCCGCAACAAATGAACGAAGATGCCACCCGATCGCCACTCTGTCATAGAGAAGCGTGTAGGACAGCAGCGCCTGACGCAGAAGATACCTTCACCATGTTTGAGGCTCCTCGATCTTTCCGCACGTGGGGAACCACCGCGAGCGTGAACAAGAACATTTGAGGAAGATTATCCCGGTGCGACCCTACCTAGGAGTTGGAGCCCCTAGGAAAGCAGCACTAGTAGCAACAGTAAAGCTAAGCTAAAGCTAAGCTAAAGCTAAGCTAAAGCTAAGCTAAAGCTAAGCTAAAGCTAAGCTGAAGCTAAGCTAAAGCTAAGCAAAAGCTAAGCTAAGGCTAAGCTATCACTAAGCTAAAGCTAAGCTAAAGCTAAGCTGAAGCTAAGCTAAAACTAAGCTAACTATAAGCTAAAGCTAAGCTAAAGCTAAGCTAACGTTGAAGCTAAATATAAGCTAAAGCTAAGCTAAATCTAAGCTAAATCTAAGTTAAAGCTAAGTTAAAGCTAAGCTGAAGCTAAGCGAAAACTAAGCTAACGCTAAGCTAAGGCTGAGCTGGAGCTAAGCTAAAGCTATGCTAAAGCTAAGCTGAAGCTAAGCTAAAGTTAAGTTAAAGCTAAGCTAAAGCTAAGCTACAGCTAAGCTAAATCTAAGCTACAGCTAAGCTAAAACTAAGCTAAAACTAAGCTGAAGCTAAGCTGAAGCCAAGCTAAAGCTAAGCTAAAGCTAAGCTAAAGCTAAGCTAACGCTAAGCTAACACCAAGCTAACACTAAGCTAAAACTAAGCCAACACTGAGCTGAAGCTAAGCTAAAGCTAAGCTAAAGCTAAACTAAAGCTAAGCTAACACTAAGCTGAAGCTAAGCTAAAGCTAAGCTAAAGCTAAGCTAAAGCTAAGCTAAAGCTAAGCTAAAGCTAAGCTAAAGCTAAGCTAAAGCTAAGCTAAAGCTAAGCTAAAGCTAAGCTAAAGCTAAGCTAACACTAAGCTAAAGCTAAGCTAAAGCAAAACTAAAGCTAAGCTAACACTAAGCTAAAGCTAAGCTAAAGCTAAGCTAGAGCTAAAGCTAAATATAAGCTAAAGCTAAGCTAAGGCTAAACTAACACTAAGCTAAAGCTAAGCTAAAGCTGAGCTGAAGCTGAGCTGAAGCTAAGCTAAAGCTAAGCTAAAGCTAAGCTAAAGCTAAGCTAAAGCTAAATCTAAAGCTAAGCTAAAGCTAAGCTAAAGCTAAGCTAAAGCTGAGCTGAAGCTAAGCTAAAGCTAAGCTAAATATAAGCTAAAGCTAAGCTAAAGCTAAACTAAAGCTAAGCTAAAGCTAAAGCTAAAACTAAGCTACTAAAGCTAAGCTAACACTAAGCTGAAGCTAAGCTAAAGCTAAGCTAAAACTAAGCTAAAGCTAAGCTAACACTTTGCTGAAGCTAAGCTAAAGCTAAGCTAAAGCTAAAGCTAAAGCTAAAGCTAAGCTAAAGCTAAAGCTAAGGCTAAAACTCCCAAGGGACTGGGGGAACCGCGGGGCGGCGACTGGGGGAACCGCCCGGGGCGTGTAGCACTGCCCGGCCCCTTTAAGCTAGAGAGTAAGAACCCTTCTAGGCAGAGCCTAGGTAGGGAAAAACAAATCCAATACGTGCCTACCAAACAGCAAAACCCTACCACCACAATTGTGTCGCAAGACTCTTGTAGGGTAGCCCAAGGGCACACGAGACCAATACAATGAATGCAGCTCCGTCCAGCAGCAATGAATACCAGAAGCTGGCGCACTTGGCAAACACTTCGGCAATACGAGGTGATTGCGCAAGCCAAAGTTCAAGCAACGAGTGCGCTCCTTGCCGTGGCTGCCAGCCTACTCGACTCTATGCTCGGGTGTCGATAGAAGTGCCCCTGAACCGAGGTGCCCCCAGGATTCCCAAGGAGGCCCCCACGGCCTCCAGAGCACCTGTCACGAGGCCGAACGGACCCTGGGATATCCAAGACTAGGGCTCCCAACTTCGCGCTTCGCGCTCCGCGAAGCGCGAAGCGCGAATAACTTCGCGCCCTCGCGCCGCCCCCCCAAAGGGAGAAAAGGAGGACGAGGAGGAGGGGGGAGAAGGAACGAGGACCGCGAAGCGCGAATAACTTCGCGCCCTCGTGGGAGCCCTTGCAAGAGGGCACATTGGGACAGCGGCACCTTTAGCTCCTCGACGTGCCATTGTTGGCAACCAGGCTAAAGAGGCCTGAACAGCGTGCCACCGCCGAGCTCTGGCACTGGGGCCCCCAGGCGGCGCGAGAGGGCGAACGGGGCGACCCAAGACGTCGAGAGGAAACCCAACACCCTGCCACGGAAACACCTCGAGCCGATGCTTGAGGGAGGGGGGGGGGGCGAGGGGGACGAGGAAGTAGGAAAGATGAGGAGAAGGCGGCCACCTCTTCCCTCCCCGGCTTCAGTCCCTCTTCCATCCTGGAGGTCTCCAGGGGTCCCAAGAGGCCAAGACGTCCCGAAACCTCGATCCCCGATCCCTCGATCCCCGATCCCTCCTCCTCCTCTTCCTCCTCCTCCTCCTGCTGTTCCTCCTCCTCCTCCTCCGCCTCGTCTTTCTCGTTCGTTATCCTACTCCTGCGCGCACAGGAGCGCGCGCGCGCGCGAGGGAATATGGACGAGGGAGAAGGAACAGGAAGAAGGGGAGGAGGAGGGGAAGGGAAGGAGGAGGTAGACGACAAGCAGGAAGGACTCCAGTGATTCCAGCAAAGAGGGGTGACCGAGTGCAAAGTCGGCACTGGCACCAATCAGTTACAGGCTTGGGAAGGTCACGCCGCACTTAGGGGGCTTACCTTCCGCTGGCCTGTTGAGGCTGCGTCTGCTGGTCGCAGGCGGCTCGGGAAGGCAAGGTTGGGTCAGCTTTTGCGCAAGGCTGACCGCAACACTCCCACATCTCCGACAGAAAGAAAAACTCTTTTGAATTCAGCTAAAGAGTGCATCGGATGCGCACGGCCGAATTATGGATGCCCACTCGGATTCCCCAGGGGCGGCCCCCAACAGCCTCAGAAGACCCAAGACCGAGGGCAACAACTAACAAAATCTACGCACCAAAGCTGTTGGAGACAGAATGGTCGTGTTCGGTACGCCTCTGCTTACGGATATTCATCGAGCTGGGCCCTTTCGCTCTCTGGTGCCCTCTGCTAATGCGATCCTCGCGGGCCCTCTGGCGCGCGAGGAGAAAAAAAAGGCCGGGAGACAACACTAATCCTCTTCGTCACAAGGAGGCGGTTCTCAGCCACCTTGTTACGCTCACTATTTTTGTTCCTCTGGTACGGCAGCATCCCCTGGCTTGAAACTATTCCTCGCGCGAGGGCTGGCATGGGCAAGCGAAGTCAGCTTCTTAGATTGGCGTTTAGCTTCATCCTTCCTGTGTCTCATCATCCACATCGTCCTTCTCGTCCACGCGGAAGCTCCAATTCCCATACCCTTCGCACATTCACTGGGGCGGAACGGAACATCTAGTTCGTCGCAGAGAGCTTGAAATGGGCGTCCAGTCTTTGCGAGGGCACAAAGGTACACAGAACTTGCATGACATGTTGTGCCCACGCTTCTTGAACAGCCCACGCAGTTCTCGAGGCGCTGGCAACAGCTTTGACGCAATATCTCGAACAGAACCTGGGACGCACTGGGTCAAGTCATCGACGTAGGCTGACATGGGCGCGCGCGATGCCCGGCGGCGAGCTGCCTCCAAACATCACGCACATAGCACTGAACCCAGGGTGCCGATTGAAAGCGGCCTGCAAGAGAAGACCGGCCAGCCTGCCTCGCTCCCGGCACCAGAAAGTGGACCCCGAGAAGCATGGGGGAGGCGTGGACCAGGAGGCCCACATAGTGGAGCATGGGGGAGTAGTCGACAACCTGCGCCAAGTTCACCAGCTTGCTCGGATCTACGGCGTCGGACGATTTTCCCATATCCCAAAAGGCAAACATCGACAAAACAACTCCGCGCAGGCACGCTCGTGGATCCCTTCCCTGGGCATAGCAGCCCTCAGGGCCGACGAGTTTTCCACGGCTGCGCCCCGATGGGCGACGCGACTATCAGTCCACTTATGAATCCGGTCTCCCCTGATGCGGGCGCGCATGCGGCGCGGGATGGGGCATTTCGCGATAGTCCATTTAATGGTGGAAGTCTTGGGGGGCAACGAAAACGCCAGTGCACTTGCGGGGGGGGGGCCAAGGCCATGCGCAATGCCATTTGACAAGGTAGCCAATGGCCTCTTCGCGGGAGTTGGGGGAGGCCTCTAGGCGGCCGCCCATCAACCCCAATCGCAGCATCAGAAACAACATTTGCAGGCAGCAGCGACATCCCGGCCGTCGACGCTGCGGGCCTCCAGCGCCACCAGTTCGGCAAGGGGCGGGGGGGCCCCGTGGCTAACTTCGGGCCTTCAGCCTGCCGAGCGGCGGGCGCCCAGGAAGAAGCCCAAGAAGCCTCGCGGCGATTTGGCAGCTCTCTGGGTGTCTGGGCAATTCCAGAGGGGGGGGGCCAACGTGTCAACGCCCCCCTTGGAGTCAGAACGCAACCACCCATGAAGATGCTCAGTGCCCCCGACCAAACCATTGATTAACCAGGCCTGGGCCCCGATGCGGTTGGCTTGTCGAGCCGCGGCCCACGCGCGCGCGGGGATGATGGGCCATTTCAAGCTCCCCGGGGTCAGACGGGAGCTCTTCCAACGGCCCGATCCAAACATCAGCTTACCGAGCATCGGCGAGCCGCTCAACGCGGCGGCCAACCTCGTCACCGCGCGCGCGGAGGAGGCCCCCGAGCGCGGTGACCAGGGCGGCGCTCCCGCGCTTGGGGGCAGCTGCAAAATCGCGCGGGCGGGGCGAGACCATCGCCCACAAAGCGAGGCAGGGGCGCGACGAATCTTGTTCCCTGACTCTTCCTCTTGGGTAGGATCTGCCCCTGCGCAACTGCCGCTTCGCCCCTGCGCCCGCCCGGCGCAGGCCAATCCAGGCCGGCGCTGCAGCTGAGCAGCGCCTCTGCAGCAGTCGACCGCCTTTGGCGAGCTTCCGAGAACCCTTGCGCGCGCATGGGCCAATGAAACTCAAGAAGGGCCACTGGCGGAAAACGCGGGAGAGACATCAAACGCAAAAAAGCAAAGCTCCAGTCTGCGCGCGCGGCGAGGCACGGCCGAACGTCACGCGACACCGCAGCGCGCTCCATAACTTCCGATTCCTATATCACAAGTGAGATTGGCCTCGCGAGGTTCGACCGCCACGCCCGAAGCAACTTCGCAGACGCCAGAATGGCGCTACTCAAGGGGCTCCAAATTTGTCTTCAAGGAAGACCCAGGGACACTCGAGCGCCCAAATAAATTCAACAAATCCATGCAAACCCGCGAGTTTCAACCCGGAAGCCACCGTGCCTGAGAACAGGCAAACACCTCCAACAGTCGAGGTGCGCTGCTGAGTCTGCATCTCCGAAAGAAAAAAACAACTCTGACCTTGTCCGACATTCCCGGCACCATCGGTGGGCGGCGCGCAAGCTGAAACGCAGACGCTTTGCATTCGCCCCCCGGGCACGTCAAACGAACGGCGTGCTCTGAACAGGCCGGGGGCTGCAAGGTGCGCGGAGTCACTGTCCCACGTATCATTCGCATAGGTGGCCTCCTTGTGCTTGATATGCGCTCGGGCATGGAACATCGCGACCAGGGGGGCATCCAACCTCTCGGGGACTGCGGGCCTGCGCTCGCCAGCGGAGCGCTTGCGAAGCTCCGCCAGCTCACGGCGCTCAAGCTCAGCTAGTAGATCATCGCCAGCTTCGTCTGGGACTGGCTTCTGCCCACCACCGCGCTGTCCAGCGCCCGCAGAATCTTCGCCGCCTCCCATGGGTGCATCTGCGACGCCCTCAAGAACAACAGCAACAACAGCAACAACAGCAACAACAACAACAATAATAATAACAATAATGATCATAATGTTCAGACTGCTCGCCCTTATATGCTCGAGTGCCCAATAAGGCGTATTTCCCAAACCCTCGATACCCGCCCTCTTCGTCTTCGATCGAACCCGTTTTGGGGGGTATACCTTTCTTCCCTGCAGGCCGGGCCCCGGCAAGCGGCGGGGCGGCCGCGGACCGTCGGCCTGGCCAGCGGCAGCGCTGATCGGCGGGGCGGCCGCGGACCGTCAACCCGACCCCAAGAGGGACGGACAGGGGACCGACCACGACGACGACGACGACGACGACGACGACGACGTCGAAGACGACGGCGACGACGACGACGACGGCGACGACGAACGAAAGCGAGAGCGAGAGAGAACGACAGCAGGGCCACGAAGGCACGAAGTAGGCCACGAAGGGCGACAGCGGGGACACGAAGGGAATGGGGCCACGAAGAGCGCGAACGAGCGGGGGCCACGAAGTGCAGATAATGCGGGGCCACAGAAGGCAACTATGGGGCCACTGAGGGTAGCAACTGGGCCACGTAGGACAGTGAGGGGGGCACAAATGGCGACAGCGGGGCCACGAAGGGCATGCACATGGGGCCACAACGGGCGCGACTCCTGGGTGACTGGGTGTCGGGAGCGCGGCGCTTGGGCAAATTGCAAGAAATTCCCACGCAAGGCCATTCTTCAGTATGTTGCAAGCAAGTCTCCAGCGAGAGCGCGACTCCAGAGCGCCGGGAGAGCGATTCCTGCATAAATTGTAAGGAAGTCCCAAGCGAGAGCGCGATTCCTGAATAAAATGTAAGGAAATCTCGGGCGGGAGCGGGGGTCTTGGCTAAATCGTAAGGAAGTCTCAAGCGGGAGCCGTTGTTGTTGTAACCCGGGGGCCAGGGGGCCAGTTTGACCAGGAAGACTTTCCCTGTCAAAAAACAGGGTGCGAGCGTCGAGGGGCACACTTTGATTGAGAAAAAATAGTATGCACTGGTGGGGGGGATCAACAATAATTATTTTTCAAAAGTGAGAATTCAACAACAGCAACAACAAAAACAACAACAACAGCAACAACAACAGCAACAACAACAACAACAACAACAACAACAACAACAACACGCAACGACGAGACGCGCAAGGCAGGCGAGCGTGAGGGGCCGTGGGAAGCCCCCCGCGCGGTCCGCAAGTTACACCCCCCCATGGGTGGACTTTCAGATGCGCCAGCCATCATCTTGCACGGTGGGCCATTTTCAATGTGCCTCACGGGCGGGGCCAAGGCCAGGACCGGATGGCGTGGCAGGTCGCGCAGGCGGCGCTTCACTTGCGCGGCCCTGATCGCTGCGAGGGTGTCCAGCGTCGCCCGCGGGGCTCACGGAGGATGCGTCCATCTTCTTCGTATTATTGGCATCCTTATCATTGAGATGACCCTTTTTCTCCTCGGCACCAGCATGAACGGCATGGGCCTCTTCGAGATGGGTGCCCGCGTCGGTCGGCGAAGGCCGCTTCGGCCTGCTTGGCCTTGTCGCGTGCTTCGATGCAAGCCGACTGCCGCTCGAACCGCCATTGCCAGGCCAAGCGCCCAGCCTCGGCCATCATTTCTTCGACGGGCGCGTTCACCTGTCGCCGCAGCGTCCAACCGAGCACCAGAAGGTACATGAGGCGGCGAGGCAGGCAGGAGATGGACGGCGAGCCGCTCGCGCAGCCCAGGAAATTGCGTGACGTCCGCACTCGCTTGCCCAGAAAAGTGGGGGGGCCGCCGCGATCTCGCAGCCCCCGCGCCCATAGACTCGGCCGTGCAATCGCAGGAAGGGCCACCGCGCGCGCGCGGCAGGCAGCGCGGCCGCGGTAGAGGCACCCCCAGTACCTGCGCTCGCTAAGACCGCAGAAGACGAGGACATGCCATTGCCATGGCCGCTGCGCTGGCGCACGCGGCGGCGGATCCACCTCCTCGATCCTCGATCCTCCTCGATCCTCGATCCTCCTCGATCCTCGACCTCGATCCTCGACCTCGATCCTCCTCGATCCTCCTCGGTCCTCGATCCTCCTCGATCCTCGATCCTCCTGCTCGATCCTCGAGTCTCGAGGAGGAGGGCGGCAGGCCGGCACCCTGGAACCTCGAGGCGGCAGCGGGCGGCAGGACGCGGACCGGGCGGAGATGCTGACATCGGCGGCGGCCAGGGCGACGGCGGGGACGACGGCGCACACGACGAGGACGACGGCGCCGAGGGCGCCGAGGACCACCAGGCCGCCGAGGCCGCCGAGGACGCCGAGGACGACGAGGACGACGAAGACGTCGAGGACGCCGACGGGGGCGGCGAGGAGGCCGCCCCGGGGCGGCGGCACGGAGCCTACGTTGGCGCCCTGCCCCAGGGCTGCGGCGGCTCCTCGAGACGCCTGTGGCCTGCGCGGCGGCTGCACCCTCGTCGTCGACGTGAATGCCGTCGTTGTCGACGTCGTCGTCGCCGCCGCCGCCCCCGCCGCCGCCGCCGCCGCCGTCGTCGTCGACGCAGCCACACACCGTCGACTTGTGTCGTTTCTGGCGTCGCCGTCGTCTTCATCGTCGTCGTCGTCGACGCCCTCCTCCTCGTCGGATGGAATCGAGGAAGAGGGAGGAGGCATGATGAGAAAGATGGGGTGGAGTGTCGACGAGAGGGGAGGGATGAGCGGGGAGAAGAGGGAGAAGGAGCAAGGATAGGGATGAGGGAGAAGGAAGAAGGAGGAGCGGGCAGAGCAAGAACAGAAGGAGGAGGAAGGGAGAAAGATGGAGTAGGAAAGAAGAGCCGGGGAGGGGGAGGGAGGAGGAGGAGGTAAGATAAGATAAGATAAGACCGATCGCGAAGCGAGTTCAATTAAAGGATTAGGAGGATCTAGCCGCCTTCTCAGCTTTGCTGAGAACTTTGGGCATAAGACCTCTGGAAATTCGGTCGAGATATTCTCGCCGATTCTTGGTAAGTGGGGCTTTGGGTGGGGCCTTACACTCATCAGCCAAACCTCGGAGCTGCTGCTGATGGTAGGAACCGCACGCCGCACAATACCAGAGAGACAACACTTCATTATACATCGTCTTGTGAGACGGGTGAACCCATCCTCCAGCGAGATGTAAACGCTCCCCCCGAGGCACCCTGAAAACCCCCGTAGTCTGCAACTCGAGTTGAAAACAGGGCGACCCAAGAAACTCCTTTGTCGCTGCCACCGTCGTGGACCCTCGGCAGACTAAACATTTTTTCCGCACTCCGAGATACGATGGGCCGAGCAAAAAAGGGCCACCGTGGCAGGGGCAGGAGGAGGGGCCCTGGCTGGAAGGCGAGCAGACCTGGGGGCCTTCTTTTTCTCATCCTGAGCGGCGGCGTCGAGCGTAGCTCTCAGAAGTCTCTGCCGAATGAGGCTAATCTCATGCTCCACTCTGTGCACTCTCGCCCTCTGATCCTCGGGCACACGCGCAGCTCGCGCCGCCACGGCGGCCAGCTCGTCGACGAAGACGTTGCCAGCCACAAAGCGGCTGACGAGGCCGCGGTCGACCACCTCCTCGCCCGAGACGTGGGACGGGACCTTGACCACCGCTACCTGCGTATGGTGTCGATCCTGGGCACGGAGCTCCGCGCCAAGGTCGCGCCAGAGGTCGGCGTTGGCACCCTGGGGCTTGAGGAACAGTTGAGACCACCATCCTCGGCACACCTCCTCATTGTCCGTAATGAAAACAATGCAACCTGAGGACCACCGTACCCCTAGGAGCAAGGCAAGTAGTTCACCTCTTGGAACCGTTTGCCTGGATCCAGGCAGTGGTCCGAAAACAAATTTGGAATCTGGTCCAGGCTCTTCTCCTACGGCCGATACAGCTAACCCAATCCGACGAAGTCGAGGATCATGAGTATCGCAGCCGCCTGAAGCATCGCCATGAATCAGAAGGGGCTCCAGCTCGGAACCCTCGCCGAAGTAGTGCTGATTGAGGTCGTCGTTGTGGCTGACCTGCCAGCACTCCTCACTCGGAGGAGGGTCCACAGCTGTGAGATGCGAGGGAAGAAGCCCTCGATACCAGTAGCACTCCATACTATCTCCTTGCGTCAGCGCTTTGTGGCAGATGTCTCGAGATAAGTCATATGCTGCTGAACCTGAATTGCACCGACATGCCCAGAAACGGTGCTTGGGCGTCTCTGGGCCTTCTCCACATCTTGAACACACTGCGGGAACTTTGTACCCAGCCTCTGCTTTACGCGTTGCTGGCCAAGCTCCCCCGACAACTATGGTAAGTAACAAATGTGCCAACCGACGCCCCACTTTGGGAATCTGCTCCAGTCGAAACAACTGCTTCCTCAAACTGAAATTGTCGACTCCATCTTCCATGCCACCTCCACAGAAAGTAGAAGCAGCTGCCTGTCGCCATTGCCTCTGCTGTATCGAACGAGCAAAAGCGTCCAGCAACTCCACTGCTTGATCACTGCCTTGAAATTCTGGCCCGTCGAACTTCCATCCTTCTTGGCGCCCGTCGGTGTCAGCTGCTTGATACCAAAGGGCTGGCTGAGGGATCTCCCACCCTGCATCGAGAAGATAATGCACAACCGCGGTGAGAGGACCTCTGATGTGACGAGCCCTGTGACACGGCTCCATCTGCTGAAACTCTGACACTGTGGCACTCCGAGGGGAAGGAGGATGATGATGATAATGATGATGATGAGGAGGAGGAGGAGAAGGAGGAGGAGGAGGAGGATCAGGAAGAGAGGACCCAAGAGGAGGCAGGAGGAAAGGGAGCGAGAAGGCAAGAAGGAAGGACAATGAGGAGGCGCGAAAGAGGGAGCAGCGGAAATAATATGGATGGAATAGGAGGAGGAGCGAGGTGATAGTGCAGGAGCGAGTGGCTCGGATGACAGGCCAGATAGGGCACCTGACGGGATCCGAGAGGCGAATTTCGAACAGATCTTGGTCGAAAGACGCCGACTGTACACCCACAGCGATCCAGGGCAGGCCCATCCTGGCCCAGGATCGGTGTACAAGCCCACCTGGCTCCTAGCTTGGCCAGAAAGACATCCACGCCGATACTCGATAATCCTGGCCAGGGTCGGCGTAGATGCATAATCTGCGTCGCAAGACCTGCACGCGCACGCCCGCTCATGATTTGGAGGAACGACCTGCTTCTGCCAGGCAGAAGGACGCGATTCGATGCGATGCGATGCGGCCCGCATTCCAGTCCCTACAACGCGTCCTCTCAGACAGCAAGCGTATGGGGCACGCGGTCTCGGTAAACGGGCGCACCCGGTTGCGCGTCTCTGTTGGTGTGCCCAAAATTCGGCACTGGATGCTTGCAATGGTCGTCGACAATGTACGACGCTCTCTTGACAAAATCCAGCCAAGGTTCCATCCGCGTGGCCCCGAAGTGTCTGAGGACACAGACCCACCTTCTGACATCGGGTTGCTGCCAGTGTCTGCGAAACCGAACTCTTCAGAATGCGCACCAAAGTGCGCCCGGGGGAGACTTCCCGCTCTGTCCCCAAACTGTGCCTAAGCAGCTGCCGCTGCACACTTGTGATTTGATGTTCGGCCTTGCGTGTCACAGGCCAAACTTCATGTCCATTGAGCAGTGCAGGCGTCAGCGCCCCGTTGAACAAACGAATGCGGTCCCGTAGGCCGTAGGGGGGTATGCGCGATTGGTCAGCTCTTGCTTGTATATAGCACAGGCTTCCCATGATATCGAGAAGCGAACTCCTGACTCAGGACTCCCACTCGTGCGGAGTGTCACAAAAAAACCAGACGCCCCAAGTAATTGATGGACGCGCGTCGTGCAACTATGTCAACAGTAATGTCGTCGATATGTGCGGTCTCGTTGGCTGGTTTCCCAGATTGCATGTGCGCATTTGTATATACATCTGTGTGGTCCGGGTGTAAAGACAATCCCAATGTGGAGGTCTCTTATTTGATGCCGAACGACCTCCTCTTGATCTGGTGTAGCGCGGTCCCCAATGCCGGCACATCATCAGCGAAACGTGAGTTTGTGAGTGGGTTTTTATCACGGACGTCCGTTTGCAAACCGCACTTCTTTTTGGCCCACCGCTTCCAAGGGCAAATAGAATGCTCCAACAACACATTGAATAGTAAAGAAAATAATGGATCCCCCTGTTTTGTCCTACGCTGTATGCCGGACTTGTTACTAAAAACATCCTTGCGCACCTTGCCACGCTGATCTGCATACAAAGCGACTCAAAAATCTAAGGCTCTGGGAGGTGCTGCCTGCGGAAAGCATCCCGCACAACGCCGTGTTTAGCAGTATCGGCAACTCTCTGGATGTCGAACGCGCAGAACCAAACCATCTGCTGCAACTCGTCCGTTCTCTGGAATGCATGATCGTCGGAGCATCTCTTCTGAATCCGGCTTGATTGCCCGGGCCCAAGATCTTCTCCAACCTTCCGTAAAAGAGCCGAACAAATATTATATAATATTGGTATTGCGGAAATTGGTCCATAATTGGATGGCTACGTGGTGTCGCCGGCCTTTTCCATGGAGCTGGGGTCAGGACATTCGGCTTGAGGATCTCCTTGTACAGATCGAGAAACAACACGTCGCACATGAACACCGCCGTACTTGAACATTTCCGACACAATACCTGTAATTTCTAATCTTCTCCCCATTTCGAAGTGTGTGCATGCATGCACGCGCTCCTTCTTTGAGAAAGGCGGAACGCAATACTACTGTTGGTCCCCAGGTGCTGTCGCCTATTCGGTGTAATCCTGGGTCGCCGCATAGGAGGTCGGCATATAACTCCGGAACAAGAACACGTACGATCTCTTTGCGGCCCGTGCGCTCCATCCCGCTCTTGTCGGCCATCTCGTTGATCAGTGTCTTTCTCCTCCGTGATTCCGTTTCTCTGATGCGCCTCAGCCCTGCGAAGTCTCCCAGGATCTGCTTGATGTGCTGTCTGCGCTCTGCTGCTTCGGTGGTCTGTACCCTGCCGCGGATCTGCTTGCTGAGCTCGGTGTGAGGTCGACCGCCGATCTTGTATTAGCCGTCGAAGATCGGCCACGTCGTTGGTTAGAGATGGTTCTGTGTGATATCCGCTGCGAACAACTCCTTGGCATGCATCAAAAGAGACTCTATCTGGGCGTTCGCGTCGTCGATGCTTCTCCACTCCGTAGGTCACCTTGGCAAAATGCTCGCCGGCATGTTGCGTCAAACCATGTGTCACACAAGTCTGTGGTATGATGCCGCGGACGCTGTCGTCTGTGTTTGCTTGCTGATTTAGGCGGCAGTCGCAAGCAAGCTTGTACAGGCCTGGGGTCTGAACCAATATCGAGAATGTCGCTGGACCCAGACTTGGTCACGTACCGGCGCATGCGATTATGAACCCAAACAGAATTCACATGTCGCGGTTGCCCGTTGGTAGAATTATGAGTGATTCGCTTTTGTGTGGCAGTTGTGAAAGGAAAATGCATGTAACGCTGACGCCATGCTGCATGCACCACTATTTGGGCCAATGTCCACTCCAAGTTTCTGCGCCAATTGCGCATGGCCCAGTTTCATTGTCGCAGTCGTCTTCCAACCTCCTTCCAATCTGTGCATTAAAATCCCCACTAAACACTAGAAGTGTCTTCTTTCTCGGTGTCTTGCTTTATGGCAGACAATGTTGTGCACCCTTTACATGTGCGTCATTATATGTACAATGCGGAAGATATGAAAATACAGCTCGTACGACGTGCGTGGAATCTCTGATGTCTTACGCCACTAACTCGCTGATTGGAACATACTTGAAGTTTCCAAAGCTCTGCATCTTGTCGCCTCCAGGCTTCGGTAACCAAATCAAATGTCCCACCTCTTGTCCCCTAAAGTCCGCCAGAAGCTCATCGATGCGGTCATCGTTAATAAGGCCTCTGGCGTTCAAGGCGAAGACCTGGAGATTCAGGTGTTGGTTATCTGTTGTTTCGTCCTCGCTCTGTCTGTGTATCTTCGTGCCCTCACGTGTCACGTCGTGAGTTGCCGGAGTCATTGACAGGGGCGGGCTCGACGCAGTACCTAGAAAATGGCGTAACGAAGCTATGGGGAAATCGCTGTTGACATGCTTGCGTACACCACGCCCTCACGCCCTCCTCCTCCTGTTGTGGCCGTGATTGTACTGGTACATTGCTTGTTCTGTTCTCTCAGGCTCCGCTGTGGTCAATTACCACTTTCACAAGCCTTTCACCATTCCTCCATGTGTTTGGTCAGCGTATTCTGTGTAGTACCGTCCAGGTCAACGTCTGCGATGACCTTCCTCGTAATTCGACACGCCTCCCATCCCAATCGGCTATGAGTGATGAGCACATACACACGCTCTCTAGATGGCAAGAACATGCTTTCAAAGATGGCTGGGTAACGGATCTGAAGTGCGGCCCAAGCCTTCGGTGCACACGGCCAATACCAACATAGGGAGCTTTCCAGAGAGAATGGTTAGGGACGCGCTCGGGAAAAACTGCGCTCCTAGATCTGCAGCGAGACGCTGAGTCACGCATCGTAGCGAAGGAGCACCGCTTGCAGAAATTAAGTGCGCATACAGTGAAACATCCTGAACGCTGATCGTTCATCAACACCTGCTGGGGGACGCGGTGCCTCTCCGTTCGCCCTGGCACGGACTGCAACAACTGTGAGCTACATTCGGAATTGGCCGCACATCGTATCGCCGAAAGAGGAGAAAAGGACGGCAAGGAATTAGGGGATCCAAAATGCTCGAATAACATCAGCGGGAAACAAGACATAGAAACGACATACATAAGACAACGTGGTGATATGGCGGTAACAGTGGGAACGGACTCCCCAACGAGAAAAGCACGAGCAGGGAACGAGCAAGAGCACGATGAGGGCACGATCGAAACATGCGGGTCCCATGTTGATGACCAGCAGCGGTTAAAGAAACATATGAAGGCGATCCCAGAGAAGCAACAACGATTGAGGGCCGCAGCACCAAACGATGAAACTGTCAGGGAGACAGAGGGCTACAAAGGGAGAAAGAGAAAGAGAGAGAGAGAGAGGGACAGAGCAAGAGAGCGATGGTATCTCTAAATGACAGAATGTCAGCCAGCGTAGACCCCAACCTATGTGATGCAACATCAAAGGTGCAATCTACGCGGTGCAATCTGTGGTTGGATCTACGTGGTGCAATCTATGTTTTGCGCGATCCACGTCGTGCCGCCTACGTGGTGCAACCTAGTTTGGTGCACTCTATGTTGTGCGATTGTTTTTAACAAACGAAAGACTCACCCCGTGTTTTTGCAAACACCCCGCCCACCCATCCGCAAATAAGTTTACAAAACCCATGCGGTGGCGATTGCGATGCATGCTTGGAGATGGCTGGTGCATCCCTGCGGCCGCGCCAACCCAAGCACGCGCGCGCAGCGGCCATCTAGTCTGGTGCGACCGACGCGGCCGCGGTGGCGCTGACCGCTGGGCACATGCCAGCGGGCACTTCAGTGCGAATCGGCGACTTGGGCAGGCGCAGAATCATGGCAACGTCGACAGCGGTAAACCCGATGATGACGGTAGCGATGCTGGTGACGATGTTGACGACGACGACGGCGCGGCCAGTGCGGGCGCCGATTCTGACCACGCCGGCGACAGTGACGGCGTCCTCGCGTCGGTGAGGAAGGTTTTGGAAAGAGTTCGACATGCGCGCGCGGCCGACGCGCGAGAGCGCACCGAATGGTATCATTGACACGGATCGTGCCCCCCCCCAGCACGCGCGCAAGGGCGTGCGAATGATTTCGGCATGCGGCGCCAGAGGCCCGCTTAGCAGAATTCCATGAAAATGTTGAGGAACCTATAGTTGTCTTAAGACTTCGCAAGAACCCGAGCGCACACTTTTTTCAAAACTGATGTTGCGAAACCATGTGTTATTCTATGTTGTTTGGGAACTCGGTTTTGAAATCGTGACGGAACCGAAGGTGTTTGACATATTTCGGCATGCGCGGGCGTCGACGCGCGGGCGCAATTCGTCCCATTTGTTGCAAAGGATTCTCGCGACGGCACGCGCGCAAGGGCGTTCGAACAATGTCGACATGCGCGCGCGAAGCCCGTTTGGCAGCATTTTCTTAAAATCGTGAAACACCGATGGTTTCTTCAGAATTCGTAAGAGCGCGCGCAAGCTTTCTTTGAACATCCATGTTGCGAAACCCGTTGTTTTTTATATATTTTTGGGGCACTCGACGTTGAAATCCTTACGAAACCGAAGGTTTTAGAAGGATTTCCGCACGCGCGCGCGACAACGCGCGCGTGTGCACTTCGTCTATATGTTTTGCAAGGGATTCTCAAAAACTGATGAATCTTGATAAACGCGCGTGTCGCATTGCATGTTTTGCATCGGATGGCGGGTGAAGGGATACCAGCCCCCCTGGGACGGTGTGAATTCATATTTAGGATGGACGATGGGGCAGAGTCATATGTAAACTGCAAATCCCCAGGGGGGACCGATAAGTTTTTTGGGGGTATAATCTACTTTCTTTCTAGGGAAGATAATATAGGTTGTGCAATGTATGTTGGGCAATCTATGCTATGCAATCCATGTTGTGCAATCTATGTGGTGCAATCTATATGGTGGAATACGTGTGGGGCAATATGTGGTGCAATATGTGCGATGACATATATGTGGTGCAGCCTATGTGGTACGATATATGGAGTGCGATCTATACTGAGCAATCTATGCGGTGCAATATAAGCAAGAAGGCGGCGGGGAGGCGACGGCGGCCACATAGCCGCCAGACCGAAGACTCGGCCCAAATGACGGGCGGCGACGAGGCGGCGACGGGGCGGCGACGGCGGCGCGGCCAGACCGAATACACGGCACAGTTGTTTAGGCCAGAAGCAAGAACCCCTGAGTGCAACCATTGCTTGGGGAACATTAGACAGAGAAATGACGAGAGAGCGGGAGAGGGAGGGAGGGAGAGAGGTGTGAGACAGATGGGCATAGACCAAGAAGAAAGAGAGAGAGAGAGAGAGAGAAAGGGCGGATCTACTAAGAGAGGCTGGAATCTCTATATATATGTGTGTATGTATAACAACCAAAGAGAATGAGAGAGAGAGAGAAGGACAGAGAGAGAACGAGATTGGGAGAGCGAGACAGAAAGAGGAATGGGCAGGAGAGAGAAAGAAAGAGAGAGAAAGAGAGAAGGAGAGAAAGTTTAGGTTCAGGAGAGAACATCATTCAGGCGAAGATGAGAGGATGAAGGACCGTAGCCCTGAAGGGCGGTGGCCTGGAGTCAGCAAAGGAATCACAACTGGCTGGGCTCCGTTGGACATTGCACTCGCCGACCCACTTCCTGAGCTCGTCGAGGAAGTCTGGGTGTATCCACCAGGCGACGAACCTGCACGGAGAGCTGGACGAGGGACGGGAGATTCAAGCCATGGGTATGTGCGCGAGGACAGACTCTCTGTGCCCTTTCCCCACGCGCAGGCCCAAAGCGCCCGGACGCAAGACTGCTTGATTGGCTGCTTCGATGCGAACCAATTTATTGGCACGCGGGCTCCAGGGTGATTCGGCGCCTGCAACTTTCTAAGCTGCCAAGCTGCATGCCCCGTGCAAGCCTGGGTTCTGGGCGAATCGAGGGCCTGGAAGTGGTTATTGCATTGGATTGCAATCAACTTCCTGGCGTTCCTCTCTGCAGCGAGGCGAAGCGCTCGCCGCGAGACGCATGACAGAGGCGCTCGCAGAAGACTCGAAACAAATGTATGGGTGGATCCGCTGCGCCGTTGTGCTGCGTGCCGCAAAACGTCCTTTTCACGCAAACAGTCCAGGGCAGATGGATTACAAAACTGCGCGCCAACATATCTGCAATGCCATGAACTGTGGCAACTCTAAGCCTTTATGCTGTACAGGTGAGCCTCTTGCGTCTCTGGCTAAGGCGATTCTTTCTGCTGGGTGCAAGCCCAAGGCACCCTGAAGACAAGCGACACGTTAAACACCTGAAAAGGTGACGCTTGGAACAAGCTCATGCTGAAATGTTTGCCAGCGAGGATCCCAATTAATGCGCGATTGCCATGTGGATGCGTGATATATGTGGTGCATCTGTGCGGTGCAATCCACATGTTGCAACCGATGTGGTGCAATCTGTGCAGCGCAATCTCAGCGCAATCTGTGTGGTGCAAGCTTTGTGCGATGTTTTTGTGGTGCAGGCCAGCTGGCGCACTGTGTTGCAAGCTATGTGGCATCGCATGGTGCAAGCTGTGCGGTGCAACCTGTGTGATGCAAGCTACGTATGCGGTGAACACCCCACGCTGGCGCCCACCGGGCGAAACCTCGGCGGACCCAGCCTGCGCAAGGGGGCGCCCGCTAAGAGGCCCACGGGCGCCCACCCGGCGAAGCCTCGGCGCGGCTCAGCCAGTGCACGAGGCGCCGACGGCCGCCGACCAGGCCAGACCCCGGCGGACCCAATGAATTACCGATGGATGCGATGGAAAGGCCCCCGATATGGAGAAACGTAGGCACGATGTCTCAGGTCTCGGCTCTGAGTTGCGCTGTTTTCGAACTGCGCTGTCTGGGTTCGCCTTGCCTTGTCTCACATTGCAACGTGGTCCGCCTACACTGAATTGCCTTCCCTTGCTTGATTCTCTTTGATTCGCTGAGCTTTGCGTGGCGCTGTTGTGATACGAAGTGCTCTGTGTTGAGTTGCGCTGATTTGGAGTGCAGTGCAGCGCATTGCAGGTCATCGAACGTACTGGAACTGCATTGCAGTGCAGCGAGATTGCGACGCGCAATACCGAGAACTACTGCGATACAACGCAAGTCTAGACTGTATTCACGCAATGCTGCGAATACAGTGCACAACAATGCAACGCGGCGAGATGTAGAAGCAGCTGCAAAGCAACGTAATGCAGACACACATAATGGCCATGCCACGTGATGCGAAACAAGGCACTGCACTGGGAAGCAATGCAACGCAAAGGTCAACAATGCAATGCGAAAAACATTAGAACGAAGAACAAACAAAACAAAACCAAAGAACCGTGGACATCGCCGAATAATCAGGCAATTGGAGTGACGATCGTAACCGAACTGGAGAATACCGAAGCCGCACAGACAGATCGTGACACAAACAAAACGGCTGAACGCAACTCCGTCGTCGGATACGTCATCTTCCACGCACCCTGCAGCACCGCTTTGCGAACAAAAACGCATGCGAATGTCACTTGATGAATCAACTCGCTACTGCTGAACATCGCCAAGGAGTAAAACCACTTCCATACATCTCTGCCGATAACTGCGTGACTGAGGCAGCGTGGAGGAGGGGGAGAGGGCGAGGGAGGAGGGAAAGGGGGGAGGGGAAACGGAGGAGGAGGAGAGAGAGGAGAAAGAGAGAGAGAGAGAGCGACAGAGAGGGGATAGGAAATTGAGGGAGAGGCAGGGGGAGGAAAGAAGGGAGGGAGGAGAAGGTGAAGGAGGACGAGGAGGAGGAGGGCAGAAAGAGGAGGAGGAGGAGGAGGAGGAGGAGGAGGAGGGCAGAAAGAGGAGGAGGAGGAGGAGGAGGAGGAGGAGGGAGGAGAGGAGGAGGAGGAGGAGGATGGAGGAGGTAGGAGGCAGGAGGAGCGATGAGCGAGGGGGGGGGGGACCGCGCTGGACTGTGCTGGACGAGCGCGCCAGACTCTCCGTGAGCACGGCGTGGCTCCACCCCCCCGGGGGGCGGGGCGGCGCCGCAGGCGCTGGTCCTCCCGCACGACAATGTCGCTGGGCTCCCAGTGGTACTTCGGGTTCGGCATGAAGAAAAAGGCGCCTGCGCCCGACCGGCGGCGCTCGGCCGGCCGCGAGAGCCGGCACGCGACGGGGCGGCGCCCGCGCGCGTGGGGCCGGCCGGTGCCGCCCCGAGACGGCCCCGGGTGCCCTGACGACGGCCCGAGGGAGGCCCGAAGACGGCGCAGAGAGGCCCCCAAGGCGCCCTAAGAGGGCTCCAAGAAGGCCCTCCTCCTCCTCCTCCTCCTCCTCCTCCGCCTCCTCCCCAATGGAACACCCACATATTGAGGCTTAGCCATGGATCTTACCGCGGCCCTCATCAGATAAGGAATCCCCAAGGGCCCGAAGCCTCCTGGGCACATTCCTTAACCGACCCCCCCACCGTACTCTACACTTTTGGCCAACACTCTCAAAACGTCTCAAAAGACATAACACGTTGACTAAGGAGTCGCCCTTCACCCGTGAAACTGTGGCGCAATCTTACACCTCTTCAACAGGAACATATCCTTGGAACATGTTCAGCGAGAGCTTCGTTTCAAAAAGGAGCCGCCCTCCATCTTTGTACGAGTCGGAAGCTTTTACGGCGCATGCGCGCGGCGCCAAAGAACGAACCATACTTCGGAACCGCCCTGCGTCCGCGAGATGGTAGACAGCTTGAAATGCACGGAGCGCGTCGCTAACGCACTGGCAGCATGTCGAAAACGGTCCGCCTTCCATCCTTGCAGCCGCCGGAAATTTTGAGGACGAATGTGCGCGGCGCTACTTCGCGCGGCCCGCTTAGCTTCGACCGGAAGAGGTGCGCTCTCGACCCGCGGATCAAACAATGTGCGCGGCGCTACGGCGAGAGCACGTCCTGAAGCCGACCCACCCGCCCCACGTCCTTGCAGCTGTCGGGGGGTCCAACGTTCAGGGCCATAAGCGGTGGCCCGCCCTGCCGACGCGCCTGGTCGTGCGGCCAGGAGCTTTCTGGACGGACCAGGATCCAACAAAGGAGGGGTAAGGAGAAGGATGGGGACGCAGGACGACGAGGGAGTCAGGAGGAGGAGAAGAGGCAGGAAAAGAGAAGGAGACGAGAGGAGACACAGGAGGAGGAAGAGTGTTCCTGCATGCCCTCTGCTGGTAAAAAAAAACTCACCCGTCGTGATCAGGGCGGGCCGGGCGCCTTTCCTGAGATGTTCTCACCGTTTACGGAATCTAGAGTTCTCACAATTGCATCGATGGTGGGTGGTCTGGTTTCAACATCGGGCTCTCTCCCCTCGGCGCCGCGCACACTCGTCTTACACCTTCCCACCCGCTTCACGGATGGAGAGGGGCTCCTTCAGAAGACTGGGCTGAGACTTCCTCTCATGTCCAGACATCCGCCTTCCTGCAGCACTCACGCGGATGGTGGGGCGGTTCCTTTCTGACTACCTACCAAACCACCCCAACCCAACCCGAAGACCCGAATTTCGGGTTGGGGGGGTACGAGCTTCATGTGTGTTTTCTCAACGTTCCCCGACCCCCCCCAACTGGAAATGGAGGGCGAATTGGGGCCTTCGGGTTGGGTTGGGGTGGTTTGGTGGGCGGTGACTTTCAGAACGGGGCTCCCGCTCGAGACCTCCGCAAGGGCGCACGAGCAGAAGCTGTCAGAATCGAGCGGTGTCTGCACGGGCGGAGGGCGGTCCCCCTTCCGGGCGGGGCGTTCTCGCTCCGAGCTCGAGGGCCGAGGCTTGTGGGCGCCCTCTTGCCCCCGATGGTGGGCCTGCGGAGGCCTCTGGAGGCCTCCAGTGACATCCCTCCTCCTCCTCCTCCTCCTCCTCCTCCTCCTCCTCCTCCTCCTTCTTGTCCCTTGGGTAGGCCACGGGGGCGACGGCTCGAAGCGTCAGTCCTGGTCCGCCTCCTCCTTCTCCTCCTCCTGCTCCCTCCGCTTCGCGGCAGGGTACCATCTAAGTCTCCTTTCCAGTGGTGGCACACAGTCAAAAACCCTAATAAGGACGCGCGGCAAGGACGCAAGACCATTAGAAGCCGAAGTTGGGATTTCTGGGGCGGCGGACGACGAAAACCTCAAGGACGCAAGAGCAAGGAAGAGCAAGGACGCAAGGGTACCCTGAGCAAAGTCGCGCGTCCTCATTAGGGTTTTTGGCTGTAAGACTTCTTTATGAACACAGGTGCGGGGCTCGAGCACACCTGGCCCCCACCAGGGCACGGGCAAGGGCACGAGCACGCAGGCTTTATGCGTCACGCACACAGTCTCCTTATCGCCCTGTTGGTGGCCCCTTCATCCAGCCACAGTGCGTGAGAAGAGCTGGGCGAACTCAATGTTGCATGTGTTTGTATTATGACTTCGAATGCTTCAAATTCGACTTCGACGTGGGGTGCAGGCGGCTTCGAGCCCATCCGGATCCCCCTCTTGCGGCGGGACTGTAAGTGGATGCTGGCAAGAATTCTTCCTGCATGACAAACGACGTCCCGTCCGCAGGGAACGTGGGGTGCAGGGGGCTTCAAGCCATCAAAATCCCTCTCATGCGGCAGTACTTCAATGTTGTCGCTACATACAGCTTTCATTCGAATCTGGGGTGGACCTTTTCATACAATTTTACTGGCGTGGGCATTGCTTATCTGGCGTGGTTCTTCAGAGTAACCTGCCCTTTATCTCAAACACTCGGTGAACGCTCCTTTACCGCCAAGAGGAAGTCAACTTCCCATTTCAGATCGCTTGCTCTCAAGCCATCTGTTATACTGGCAGCCATTCCACAAACATGGCGGAAGATCGTCATCGCGGCTTCCGCTCTGAGGTGTAGCCAGTTCTCCCAGCTGGTAAGATCAACGGCTTATCTGATTCAGTCGTTGCCTCAATCACAACTGCCTTCTGCTCCTCCTGTCCTGGCATTGCTTATTCCCAATGTTGTCATTATCTCCGGGCGGCGGTCAATACCCAAGTGGGGGGTGGCGGGTAACGGTGAAGCTTGGGCGGGGTGAGGCACGTCGGAGTGGGTGCGCGCTGCGATCGCCGTAGTATGCGCACGTGTTGGGGGGGGGTCCTCACCCTCCCCCCAGAACGTACGATCGCTGCCGCTACCCGGCGCAGGGGGGGGGGGCCTGGGTAGCGGCTGTCACTCGCCAGAGGACAACAGAACAGTCCCCCTGTGCGCGCGCTCCCGGCGCGCACGCGCCCGCGCGCTCGAGGGCAAGCGTGCAGCGCAGACGGCCCTGGCCCTCCCCGAGCGCCGTTGCGGTCGCTGGTGCCGAGCTCGACCACCTGGCCGCGTATTGCTTCACGGAGGAAGGGGGGCGAGGATCGAGGGTCGAGGGCATTTCGTCAGGGCCCCCCCAAGCGGAAGCATAGGCTTTTCAGCATGCCCCCGTGAATCATGCCCCCGTCTACAGAGCCCAAGGCCCCCTAAACAGGGGCACTTGCCGTCGCTCGGACGTCCATTTCCCGTGCATTGTTCGGTGTTGTGCGTGTTTTTTTTGCTCGATGGTCCAGGATGGTCCTCGAGGGTTCTCGCCGAGAAAAAAATGCACACGCCCGAGCGATGCCGAGGGGCATAGCCAGACGTGGAAATCGGGCCCCCCGTGCCCCCGTCTGCTGAGAGGCCTTCTAGACGTGGTCGCAGCAGATGGGGTCGGAAGATCGCACTGCACTGGCGGTGCATCGGCGATGCATCGCCGATACATTGGCGATGCACCCGCGACGTCAGAGATGCGGCAGCGACGTCCGCGTGGAGAAAACAGGGCTCCACACCGAGCCGCATCGCCGACGCATCGGCGATGCGGCGCCATCCTCCAACCCCATCTACCCGACCCCATCTGGGAGGCCTGGATTAATGTGACCCCGTCTCTGGCGCTCTGATGTCGGATCCTTTTGGGGTATCTGGAGAACTCCAGGCGACCTTCAGATACCCCCGGAGCATGCATAAAGCGCCTGGGGCCGTTCTAGCAAACTTCGCACACGCTGCCTCCTGCGCCGAGCACGAAGCCTGTCCAACCACGTGCATGTTACGAGCACGCGTCTCAAACGAACGCAGGAAGCTCAGACAAGATCCCGACGGCCCTCTGGGCGTGAGGTGGTCAGTGCGCCTTCAGAGTGGAGGGGCTAGACCCTCCCCAGGGGTCGGGGCTGGGGGGCCGCGTTTCGTCAGTGTTAGGTCGGGCCTGTCCCCCTACAGGGAAATTTTGAACGAAAATGAAAAAATAGTCAAAAGCACTCAAGGAATATTCCAAAATAGTTTTTAAAAAACGTCCCCATACTATTTTTGCCTATTTTTGAATACTCCTCCTGTAGAGGGACAAGCCCGACTTAATGTTAGTGTCCAAGATGCCCTAGATGGCCCCGAGATGTCCCCGTATGTCCCCAGACCGTCTCCAGAGCGCACAACTCGGCAGGTGAGGGGCATGGAGGCCCCACGCGAGGGCTTACCCAGGCCACGCACACCACAAGCAGTTGAAGCGGGCCCTCACGTGTGCAGCTTGCGCGATTCCGATTCTTTACGTCGCTCACGTGAACAACGCCATCGGCAGTGGGCCCAATTTTGTGCCGGACCAAGGCAGGACGAGCACGTCACCGGCCTCCCAAAGCCACAGACGGGGACTCGGATAAACCAGGACAGTGGCGCGCCCGAGAAAACTGCAGCCGCGGGCCGAACGGCGAACGGCTCTCCTCTGGTCGTGCTGTCCGGGTGGGATATCCAGAGTCCTGGTCGGCACTGCCCTGGTTTGGAGGGCCCCGACGTCTCGAATGCCACAGCGATCCCACACGGCCCGCCCGAGATGTGCGAGGCAGGCGCCCACCTTGCTTGTGATGGCGTTGCCGCGACGCCGTCTGCTGACGCCTCAGGCGGATCGCCCCCCGAGCATGGAGAAGGAACCCGACGCGACCCTAATTAGGGAGAAGCTTCCTACTGCATGGGCGCAGTGCTTGGCATTGCCTGGCATTGCTTGGCATTGCCGAAAAACCCTAGGAACCCGAGGAACCCGGAACGAGAGGAACCCTGGGAACCCGAGGAACCGGAGGAGTCTCCGGGGATCGGGCACAGTAGGGTCCCGAGGC